CATGCACACATGCATGCAGGCAGGGTTGCAGCTACACTGCTCTCAGCTGTGAGTGCAGATAAGGAAATAGCACAGTTAGCACATCCACCACTATTTGCTCACCTCTTTCTCAAACAAAGAGGTAAACCTGCCTCTGATAACACAATTACAAAGTGTACATGCCGCCACATTCTCTTGCTCAACCGTGTGGGTTAAAGGTGAATGAAGATTGAGTACTAAAGTAAAACTACACACCTGCTTTATTCTGTTGTGCAGGAAGCAATGAATGAACCACACACTTGATCTGTGCCACTGTATTGTTTCCATATTGGAAAGTAACCTGTAACCAGCAATGGAAGTTTTTTTTTTTTTGCCACACACTGAAGAGCAGTCGACCCCGTCCTCCCTCCTCCCTCCCTCCCTCAGACCTGCTGCTGGAGGTTCAGAAACCCACTTCCTGGTACTTCGTCTCAAGGTGCCTCTATATGCACGCCACACAAACAGGAAACAGCCCTTTTTCATGTCCCTCAATCTGCATGTAGTTTAAGTTCTTCTGAGAGGCTGCAGCAAGAAAGGAAGGTGTGTGAGTCATACTCACCTGGTTTACTTTGAGATATGGAAACATCTCCTTTTAAATAGAAATATGTAATAAAAACCCAAAATGTAATAATGTTTTGAAGTGGTGACCTTTAGTTTTGCCATGAACTAGACTTGCACCTTTGATGAGCATGACCATAAGCATTGTTAATACACCAAATAAGGAAATATTTCTGGTTTTGTATGTTAAATGGGCTCTGCATGAACAAATGTTTTGAAGAAATATAGTGCTTGATATTCTTTATAGGAATGTTACCTAATAAACTTAATTGACAACACCAATAACAGATAGAGAGCATATGAATCACATTATTTTTAACCATGTTTTGGTTTTTCTCTGTAGCAGACTTCTAAATCATGCCATGTTTACTAGCAATTCTCATAAAAGTCATGAAGTTTAAAGGTGATAAAACAATGTTAAGTATGTTTTTGAGCTGTTGAAGAGGGCCTCAACCTGGAACAGTAAGGCCTTTTTTTTTTTTACTTTTGCAGGTACATGTAGATTCAAGATTCAAGATTCAAGAGGTTTATTATCATATGTACAGTATGAAACACAGTGGTTTGTAAATACATGTAAGTACCCGGAATTTGTAGTTGCTTTAACTTCAGTAGGATAAAAAAGTTACATACTGTATTAATCTCTTTTAAAAGTAAACAACCCACTTGTTAAGCACATGGTTACATCTTCCAAGTTTGTTGTTGATCAGTGCTTTCATTCGCAATATGTCGCGACTACGTGTTGTGAGATTTGTCACTTTCTCCGCTTTGACAGTGACAGTGACTAATCAACACAACACTGTGACTAGCACCTGTGAATATCAAAAACACGGTTTCGTATGCTGTTTCCCTGTTTGACTTACAGGCTCTCATTTGGCAGGCAGCTTCTCCAGAGATGTTAGTGGTGGTGGTGAGTGGTGGGGAAGGGAGTAAAAGGAAGAAGACAAGAATCTAACAGGCCCAGGTTCACTGGAATAAAGCAACAAGGAGGGCCTCCACGGGTCAGCTGTGACGGGTCAGCACCCGCCATTGTATGGAGGGAAGGGAGTTCCTGTTCCGGCTCGTTTTTTTGCAATCTGAGAGAATATAAACACGGACAGACGGAAGTGTCCAGACAGCGAGCAAAAGCAGAAGCAGTGTAGATGTTGAGTGGAGCGTATGAAGGGGAAGCTACAGTATGTTGTTTCTGAAATCCAAAACCACTCCGCTTGTATTAAAGTTAAAATAGAGATTGTGATCTTTTCATGTTATGATTTATTTATTAATGTAAAAAAAATAAGGAAAATTTACCACATATGCTATATATTTTTAAAGTCCTATCAGCCCCAACAATCTATGACCAAAATTGTTGATCCCATACTTACCAGGAATATACTTGGACACGTATCGATCAAGCTTACTTGTAACCTCAGGATCACTGATCAAGTGATAACCTCAGTAAATCAGTCAGTTTTTTTATTCTTGGAAACGTAGCAGTTGACCCCCCCCCCCAAATCAATATTTCTGCTGAAACCAGGAGTATCGGGTCTTTTTTGCGTAACCAAACCTGCTCAATCAAGAGTTTGATCATCCCCCAGGTCAATACCCCTGACTTGCGCTCTTGTGCAGTTCACCAATCAACTTCCACCACAGTGAAACTCCCTTTACTTCTGCATTCATGCACAGAGAAACACAGCCAGAGGGTTTGTTTCTTTCCCAGTTTCCTCCTTGTATGATTCTGCCTTTTAAACATTTGTAAACATATTAAGTCCGTTTATATAAAGCAGAGGTTTGGTTTGACAGTGAAGCGGTGTGTTACTGTGGAGTCTGTTAATTAGAAGGCTACAAATTGAGCCTGTATTTGTTCACATTTTGGCAAATTGGCACTGTTGTAAACATGCCAAATTAGCTATTAACTGTTCTTGTTTGCAACGTAACCATGGATGTACGGACAACTATCACTGGATTACTTTTATACTGAAGAAAACTTATAAATTAGATTATTCTTGGGCAAGTTCTCAAGTTATAAAGGAGCATCTGTTTTCTATGATTTCTAAGTGGATTTATGATGTGTGACACTTTATTCCCTCAAGGCTTAGAGACACTAATATTAAAGTAGCCAACCTCTTAAAAATGAAGTCATCTGAATAGTTTGAAGTTGGAATATTAAGTATCCTGATCTAATTCATATAATAGGAGTTGTCTTCAATGTGCAGACATGCTTTTAACCTAAATATATAACAGATTTTGTACCATCATGCATGTGTATTGTGTGTATCACTGCATAAAGGTGCAGGAGCATTTAACAACCATCGTACACAACTCATAACACCGTTTAACTTTTCAAAAAATATGGGGTTTATTGACTTAACTGCAATCAATACTTACAAAAAGAGGGGGCAAGAAACAGGTTTTTTTCATATAAACTCACAGAAAAATTACTGTAGTGAAAAAAAAACATGGCTGAAAAAAATACATTCAACTGTTTTTACTTTCTTTGTGTCAAAATCTGTTCACCTCTTCCAAAACACGTGAAGGCAACACAGAATAAGTGACTTTAAAACAAACAAAAAAAAATAATTAACTGTCCTCCATTATCAAATATAAAAAGGCAGAGACGCCTTAGCTACCTGGAATGTATTCGATGAGGCACTTCCAATAGTCGAGAGAGGGGTGGGGTGGGGGGGGGGCCCAAGCAAGTGCATCAAGCATCCAATCAAATTAAAAAAAAAAAAAAAGAAAACAAACTTTCCTCAACCCATTTGGTCACAGCTATTGCTTGTAAGAACAGACTGGGTGTAAGAACGTTACCGACAGAAGACCCCCCTTTCGTCATCAACATTGTCTTCTAACGTGGGAGACCCTCCTGAAACCAGTGATGTGAGGAGGGTCTTTTAGCACAAAGTTGAATTAATGTAATAACAGTTAGCTACTGTTACTGTCAGGATTATTGTGATGTGAAGAAAGAGAGAGAGAGGGGAGGGGGGGGAACCCATCAGGAATGAATACAAGCAAATCTAGTTTAGATGGAATTGCAGTCCAATAAGAGGGAGTAAGAAAAAAAAATAATAAAGTACAATAAATAATCAAAACGCAAAACGTCTTTTTTTGCATTTTTTTTTGCTTTAAATTAAGTTTCATTTTGACAAAGTGTAGTTGCAGAACAAAAAGTCATTGAAGTACAATATATTAACTGTGAAAAAAAGGAAAACTGACAAAAACGTCTTCACAATCTTTAGATTAATATGGAAGATCATAATTTAACATAAAAGAAAATATATTCTATTGTTCATTATCCAGATAAATACAAAACAAAATTAACAAAAAATGCATATGATCACCAATAAATATGTTCTGATAAGTTAAATAAGCAGTGACAAGCAAACCTTCTGTCTGCAAAGTTTTTTTCAAACAATAATAAACCGTAATAATAACATTAATAAAAAATAATTATCAAAAAAAAAAAAAAAAAAAAAAAAAAAAAAAAAAAAAAAAAAAAAAAAAAAAAAAAAAAAAAAAAAAAGATGTAATGAGTACAGAGTTCTCATCGGAGCAGGTACTAAAGTGGAGGTGGGAGGAGTAAAGTAAAATAGCTTGGAGATCCGATCTTCTCAAGTCGCAGGATGTACAACTGCACCATGGGAATGCTGGAATTCCCCAGACCGTCGAGGATGAAGGGAGGGAGGCGGGGATGAGAGGCGGGACAAAGTCTTACAGGTTTAATGATCAGTTTGATATCAAGACTTCCTTCCCAACAAAAAAAAAAAAAAAACAAGAGCCAGTGACCAGCAACAGGAGGAGAAAACTCAGGAGGAGGTGGAGGAGGAGGGGAACACAACCAACTTCCAGTTCAAAGTCCTTCCTGCAGACTCACCCAGTCCACAATTACATAAGACGAGGCTTGAGAAGAACTGTGACAAGGGGGGGGAGGGGGCAAATGAGAAAGAACCAAAAACAACAAACAGTAGTCAATTCACCCTTAAACACATGCAGAAACCGCCCCAGGCATTTTTTTTCCCTCTTTTTTTTAAAAACTATTCATATCTTTTCAGGGTCTTTATTTTTATTACATTTTTTTCCTTTAACTCAGTCTGTAAAAAAAAAACAAAAAACGGCTGCGGTAGATCTACAGTTACGTTAGTGAGCACCCTCTAGCTAGCTCAGGGGAAGTGGTATCGTCAGGAAAAAGGGGGCGGACGGGGGCAGGAGGGAGGGAAG